CGGAGCCGGGAGGGATGCGACTGCTCGGGTTCTGCCGCCGGTAGCTGCGCCGCTCCAGTACTGCTGGCTGTGGGTCTGTTGTCATATTTCGGCACAGCTTCTGAGTCAGTTTTAAAGGCAGTAAATGGATTTTTCCGATAACGACTCTTTCGTATAAGCCGTCGGAAACGCACCGGTGTATAGATCGGATGTAAAGGTGAACAAGAGAGGAAGGAACTCGTGCGGTAGTCCTTTCATTGCTTTCCTTTGAGCACCTTCATGCAAGTACTCCCCCGTTTGAGCCCTTATTTTCTTGCACAGGACAACATCAAAAGAGCCGCTCAGTTCTTGCACGCATAGTGACAACCAACCAAATTGTCATGGGTGTACAGAAAGTTTGCGGTTTGCATATTTTATTGCAGAAAATGAAATAAAGGGGAACAAAACCGCTAAACTGAGCAGGAAAGTTCTCACACTGCTCTGCGATTTTATTGCCACAGTAGTGTTTCATAAAAGCATAGAATCATTATGGTTGGAAAAGACCTCTAAGATCATTTCGTCTGGCCTTGAGCTCACCCCACTATGCCCACTGGCTATGTTTGTTCATGCTACATCCGCACAACTGTTGAACACCTCCAGGGATGGTGACTGCACCACATCCCTGGGTAGCCCATACCAGCACCTCACTGCTCCTAATTTTTCCTAATACCCAGCCTGAACTTCCTCGACACAACTTAAGGTCATTACCTCTTGTCCTATCACTGTTAACTAAGAGGCTGATCCCCACCTTGCCACAACCTCCCTTCAGGCAATTGAAGACAGAGATAAGGTCTCCCCTGAGCCTCCTCTTTTCTGAACTGAACAATCCTAGACAGTGCTCAAACATTTATTGCAGCACTGGGACAGGTCTGCTAAAGTGTTGATGTTTTTTGGGGGATGCTTTAGGCTGTGTATCATAAGCTCACAGTCTTTCTGATAAGATTCAGAATTGCACATGCAAGGTTCTGCCACCATAAGACTGACAAAGTTTCACTGGTAAAACACTGTAAGATGTACCAATTCCTGCTCAGGATATGTCATCAACACAGCCTAAAAACAAACAAGCAAAAAACCAAAATACTTGCTGCTTAATTTTGCCTTTTCAATGTCTTCATTACTGAATGATGCATAAACTGAAAAAAAAAAGAAAAAAAAAATCCCACAAATAATACACCAGAGAAAGAAAAGATATAAAGAAACTAAAAAGCAGATATACTGTTTTCCTTCTTTCAAGATACAGAAGTAGAGAATTTTCACATTATAACCACATTAAAATCAGTTTGTATAAAGCACACTACTACATAGAACATATCTGACTAACGTTTACACTCAAATATTGTAAAACAAATTATAGGCGAGGCTCAGGGTTTGCAGCTGTAGGACTGCATGAAAACCCAGGGCATCGGGCATGTGCTTGCTAGAAGGGGTCTGGGGAGGAAGAGATTAAAATTCACAATATATCTTGGAAGAATGACATAACATTTGAACACAATGTCTGGTTAATTTTCATGACTGTTCTCAGGAATGTCACTTTGCAATTAGTAAATGTATTGTAAAGGGGTTGCTCCAAAAGTAATGCCTCCTATTTTTTTTGTGTTGGCCCACAGCATCAGGGACAGATATTGGTAATACGGCAGAAAAAAGTTGAACCTTCCCACCAATATCCCATAATATGCTGTTGCCATGTGACAGATGGCAGCAGAGGCACAGTCTGACACAAAGGCATCTGGCATGAAAGTGTGTATGAAGCAAAGGTGTGTCTGAATTCTTCAGTGTGGAATGACATGAAATGACACCCACTGGCATCTTCTGATACTTGATGAACATTTCTGGAGACCAAACAGAGGATGTGAGTGTAGTGAGGCAGTGGGTTGTTTATTTCAGCAGTGGTCACTTCCACTGGCACAGAAGTTTATGATTCCAGCATGCATGTTCTTGTTCATTGCTGGTAAAAATGCATAGCTATTGTTGGTGACTGTGCTGAAAAATAGTGTTTTATAACTGAGAATTTGCTCGTTCAACTAGTTTCCATGGAAAAAAATAGCAGGCATTACTTTTGAAGTGACCTGCATACATCTGGAAGGGATACACATATGTTAGCCTTCTAGTTTATGTCGAGAGTGGCTCAAATATCTGCAGATGATGATTTTGTGCTGTCTGGAAGGTTACAATGCATTGGTGGATGAGGAAGGGCTTGCTTGGGTTAAAGGATATGTATAAACCTGAAAGGAGGTTTGATTTTTGCCCTGTTCTGTTTGTGATAGTCGCTTAGTACAATGTGCTGCTCCTCGACTTCATCAATGGGATATTGGCACTGCTTCTGCCACAGGCTTCAAGGCTGAGCAAATAGGCTTCAGAAGTGCTGGTGTTCATGCAGTTAAGCTGAGCATCTCATAGCTTGTTGTGCAAGATCCATTCTGTGTAGGGTTGCACCACAGGTAAAGTGAGTTGTTAAAGGAACAAGAGTCTTGTTGAGCACTCCTCTGGCTCTTGGTAAGCGCTTACAATCACACAGTTCTTCCACAGATTCTCTCTCTTAGCTATTCAGATGATCCTTGTTGACCATCTTTTTGTTAGAGGATGGGTATTAAAGCACTTGATCCAACCATGCACAAAAACTGGGCTAAAGCTTCCAGAAGTGTGTATCTCAAAGAAGGATGATTATGGATATGCATGACCCTTAGGACTTCAGGATCTTGAAAAAATTGAGAGCATGCAAGAATTTTTTGTCGCTTGCATAATGCAGTATCTTCTCTCTCTCTCTTCCCGTCCCTCCCCCCCACAAAGTGGCCATATGCTATTTTTTTCTTTTTTTTTCTGGTGGTTTTTTGGTTTTATTTTTTCATTTATTGAGTCTTCTGGCAGGCAGCTTGTGAATTACTGCAGCTACTGTCAGCCTTGCTAAAAGCAGTAAAGCAAAAATTTCAGAAGGTAGTCTCATCATGCTGCTGCTTTGCAAAAGCAGTACAAAGTATAGGAGCAATTTGGGGGGTGAGGTAAAATGAGCTCAAACTCTGTGCTGTTGGATGTCAACTAAGAAAGGTTTTAACAAACTCTTTACCAGTAAGTAGTCCACACATGCTTTGTTTCTCTGATAAACCTCATTATCACTTTTTATGGCATGCAACATGTTATAAAACAGTTTGTATCATTACCTTTAGACTACTGCATGTTTTATGGCTGGCTGTGATTAGATAAAGCAAGGTGGCATGGAAAAAGGAGAGGTGAAAGAAACTGACCGGATATGAAGGTCAGCAGAATTTAGCTTTGGCTTTCACACAAGTGGGCCAGAAGTGTCTTATGACACAAGAGAGGTATAGGGTATAGTGATGGTGATGATGCTATCAAGTGCCTACACAAACATTATTGCTAAGAAGAGAGGATATCGAGAAAGCATGTTTCTCAGGAGATTTGTGAAGATACAAAAAGCCAGACAGGATAAAGCTGTATGCTACCAGGCTACAAAAAAAACTGTTGCACAAATTTATGGGAACTGTTGAGGAAGATCAATGCGGAGATTGAGATAAAATCTGTGAAGTAAGTAGTGGTAAGATGTGAAGGAAATCTCAGATGGATAAGCATTTGAGAGCTCAGTTTTCAGATCAATTGAATAAGATATGGATGGCATTCTTACATGCTGGCATTTCAGATTTGACATCCAAGCTGCACTGAGCAGGAGTCAGTAATTAGCACTGAAGAAAGCAAACAAGCACTGAGCCAGATGCAAGAGCCTGCTGGACTCTCCTCAGAAATGAAAGTCTAGGACAGCAAGTATGTGAGAAGAGATTTGGAATCTACACACAAGTATCTACACGTTTTATGGACAATTCCCTAAAATGAAATATCAAAATATCTGCTGGAATGTTGACATCTGATACTACTGTAGCCTGCCAGCCAAAGACTATCTTGGGGTTAGTCTGCATGCCCATTCATATTTCATTCACACTTTACATTAAAGTTCCACTTAATGTGAATTTTAAATGGATTAGTTGGTGGTTAATAAGACACACTGAACAAATAGCAGCATGTACATTATTACAAGCATATCCACAGAAGGTGTTAGTGATGATTACAAACAATCTAGTATGATGCTCAGAATGAACACACAATTGCTTAATCAAGTTTCCACAGCTTACTTAATATGAAGCATGACTACAGTTTCATATCTCAGCGGCAAGCCTGCTATGAGCTTCCTGGGCAAACTTCTGTGGCTTTTTTGTCTCTTTGGAGATGGCTGCTGTTACTTTTGGCTTATGATAACTGATAAAAGCAATCTCTCTGTTCCTCTGCCAATGCCACATGAATGACTGAGGATCAGATTTAACATAAGAGCCTATCAGCCTTCTTGAGAGGTAAATGAACAGCATCAGACCTATACTGTGCATGATAGTTCCTCACTGAACTAGTCCAAGAAAATGCCGGACTGTAATAATAGTGATCTGACTGGAAATAAGGAAGTTTGTTTGCACTGACATTTAGTTTAACGTATTGTATTCAGGTGCCTTTGAAATGAACTCTGGTAAGGACCTTCTCTGACCTGTCATTTAACTCCAAATGGAAACGTAACAGTTTAGCTGGTGCTGGACAGACACAAAAGTTCTACACAATTTAAGAGAGAAGCATGTTAGCTCAGGAATGAAAGAAGTGTTATCATTTTACATGAAAACCTCTAGTTTTAGATGATATCAAACAAATCTTAACTGAATGGATGCCATTAAACTGGTGGTCTTTGCCATTGTTATCTCTGGGGTTATCTTTGTTTTCTAATTGGAAATGAAATAGGACTTCAGAACCTGACTTTATCCACCAGTTATTCTTAATGACAACACTTCTCATGGGAACTGGGAGGCACTCACCTTGGATTTTTTGAATATGAATGACCCTAAGATCAGGATTTTGATACTAAAAGGGAAAGGGCAGTAATTGATTATTTCAAGGGAAGTTGCCTTTGTTGGGAGAGAAGTACAAAATGAATGTGGGACAGTTGCTTTACCATGCATGCTTACTTCTCTGAAGGTCTTAATTGACTGATGCCTTGACAGTGTGTGTAAAAGTTTCTTCCTCCAGAAACTGTCTGCAACATGTACTTTTAACCTTAATCCACAGAGCCTCCTTAGTGTGAGATGCAGATGAAAGATGCTCCCTCAAGAGTTCTCTATGTACTTTGTTCACGTGGATCCTGGTCTGCTCGGGTTCATGGTTTGGTTGGGGATCCTTCTGTCAAGCTTAAGTCAGGCTTGTGCCACTTGAGCTGAAGGAATTTTTCCATCAAATGAGCTCCCACATTGAAGACCAAGGCCAGCCAGGCCAAGCCAAAAACGATCCAAATTGCAGTTAGACTTCTGTAGAGTGGGATGTAGTGCTTGTTTGGGTTTGTGCCTGAAAAATCCAGGAAACCTTACGTGTTAATCTTGACTGCTTTGGTCTGATAGACAACACACAAAGTCATAACTTCCCCTTCCCCACACAGACGTATAAACTTAACAAGTTTGTGTAATTTAGGGGCATTATTATTATTTTTCCTCTTGCTCCAAATCTCAGATTTAGCTTTGAAAAGTTGGCATAAAATCTCTGGAGCTAAGGCTATATAATAAAAAGAGAAAAATCTAAAGTTAATCAGAACAGAACAAAACTGAGTGTTTCCAACTGCTGACAAAGAAAAAAACATGCTAGAAATCTACTGCTGAATCTACATTAGCCAAATTTTACTCAAGCAACCCACATGAGATCTCATCTGATTTTAAATATTTGGTATTGTATCACAGGGATGTACGCATTAACTTTTGTATTGTGACATACTTCATTAGCCAGCATTCAGAATCATTTGGAGTATACTTTTTGGAAAGTGCAGCCATTTTAAGTGCTTATGGAAATGTTAACCCCTGATTTGGTATTTACACAAAATGATTAATCGGTGCAGCTAATATTGATGCAGGACCACAGCCATCCATTTAGTGCATAGAAAGATACCTCATATGTTTCTATTGCTAAGTTTCAGCCTAGATCTTTGAAGACTACATACTCTCACAGCGGTTCATTTATTTCCACAGCTCTGTAGGGGTTGTTTGTAATATTCTTCCCACTGTCAGTACTGAGAGTTTCATATTTTACAGATTTTTGTATTGGGAATGGTAGGCACTTGCTGAAACAAATAACTGTTAGGAGAGGATGTCTCAAGGACTTCAGAGATTTCACTCATATTCCAGCTGTCACCCATGGATCGCATTCATACCAATTTGGGTATAGTCATTGTTGAATGAGTATTCAGTGTCATACATCAAATGAATATAGTGACTTTCAGCTTAGCTGCTTAAAAGCAAAAATGCCCATGCCACGTATTACCTCATTATTATCAGCACTCTCTCTCTCTCATACCATATTTACAGGGGAATAGTTATCTATGCTCTCTGTACTTAGGCTTTCACTAGAATACCTAATATCAAAAAAACTTCCTCTCCCTGAGGTGAGAATGTGGGCAAAAAGATAAAATTTAACCATGTGTATCCTCATTATTACCTACTACATAGTCCCCAAATCCAATGGTGCTCAAGGTGATGAAAGTGAAGTAAAAGCCTTCTCCATAGCTCCAGCCTTCTACGTAACTGAAAACCAGTGGTGGGAACACTAGAAAAAGCAAGATCCCTGCAGTCAGGAAGACAGCCATGGCCAGTCTCTGAACCACCTGAAAGATTAAGGGAAGATATCAGCTAAACAGCAGTGAGCATCTGTCAAGTGGAAATTTCTGGGTCTGTTTTGCTCTTAAAGCACAAACCTACTCCTGCTGGGAGCTGTGTCCAAAAAGAGAAGGATAAACCAATGCTTCTGTGAACTACATGCTGACCTTGCTGTTTATCTTTCACATAGACATTGTACCCAATCATGAATTAAAAAAGTATATATCTCAAAAATGGGAAAAAAATAAAGATGTTTTAAAGCTTTTTGCAATGAGTTTTGAAGTGTGCTCGAGTCATATTTTCAAAATTACTATAGCAACCATAGGAGTGAAATGTTCACTTTACTTTTTCAATTTAAATGGAGATGCTCTTGTAATCACTTGGATCCAGCCTTTAAGGAATAGCACCAAGCTCACAATACAAAGATTGGCAAGAACAAATTAGGATTCTCTTTGCTGTGACTGCTTCCAAAGATTTATAAAGTGGCTTGCAAGAGCTCAGCCAAAAATATGTTTGGATGAAATTTGAATGAAGTCAGTTTGCCTGCTCTTATTTTAAACTTAGAAGCATTCAGAGCAGGGCTGTTTTCTGTCAGCACAGAGTAGATCTGTGTCTCTCATTACAAACGTCTGTCTTTTGGGAGATGTTAAGGCCTGCTAAGTTACAACATATGTGGCTGCCCAGATAGATACACGGAATGGTCATGGACAGGGGAACGTCTCAGTGGTTTTATCTAAGGAGTGAGGACCAGGAACTCATGGGTAACCACGGGACACAGTCGTGGCTCTGGTGAACTTTTGACTAGTGCTGCACAGTCTGATGGAAACTCATGGCAATCGTTTAACTTCATTCACGAAGCATTTTGAGAATTACTTATCAACATGTTGTAGTTGATCTCTGTTCTCATTTTAGCTTATTCCAGAAGTGTAATTGCATTTAATTAGATAATGAAGATTGCAGAAAGCTCTGAAATTCACAATGTTACATACTGTCCTGGCTTTTGAGAACTTTCTAGTAGCAACATACAAGGTAGAGGAGAGTAAGTCAGGAATGAAGAATTGATTTTAATTGATTTCCGAAAGCACAATTAAATTGTGTTTATAAGGAGGTGATACGGTTTCCTAGTAGCAGCTCCTCAGAGTGAAGAAGCAGGTAAAGCTCCAAAGCTTCATCTGTTCGTAGGAGTTCTGTCAAAAATTGAGTGATAACTGAAGTTTTGAAAAAGAAAAAAATCACATCCCTAAATTGCAATAAAAATCTCAGGAAAGATCCAGATATACTAGCATTCCACTTGTGGTGGAAGAGTTGCATGTATCTGAGGAACAGGCATAGATGAGGCAGTTAAAAAACATTTTGCTTATATAAATTAACTGCATTTGATGGTATCTATATATCTTCATCAGAAAATCTTTCCCTGTGTAGGTAAAGAATGCAGTAATTCAGTGACTTATACAAATGAGAAAGAGGAAAAAAAGACACATGAGACAAATCTGAAATGTTTCAAAATATCTAACATACCTATCACCCTTTTCAGTATCTAAAGGGGTCAATACATTCAACCTTTTACTCAGAAATGTGCACTAACTTTGTTACAAATGACCTTCACATATTTCATATTATCAGTGTTTCCCGTATTCCAATACATCTGGTCTAATTCAGTGACTCACTAACAAACTGTAACTACAGAGAAGGATGGCTTATTTACATTAAAAAGAAAAAAAAAGAAAAAAAAAAAAAGGAAGGAAGTACTAAATTACTGGCACAATCAGGGAAGGTAATTCAAGCCAGATTAGCAGGCCAATAAAAATAAGTTGTCTTTGCACAATGTAGGCCTAGATTCTGGGTTAGATACTAGCATAGGCTAGATAATAAGAGCTTAATTCAGCAATGTGTGTATATGAATACGTTCTGCTAAAGTCACCAGAACTTAAAGACCCTGCTCAAAACTGAGGCTATGCTTGCTTAACAGTTTTGCTCAATCAGCGTTTAAAAATGCAAACCTGGAGTCCCTCTAGAAAAAGCAAATTATATACTATAAAGCTCTCATAGATAAATATTTCATATCAATTTTCTGATATAGAGGGCAATGTTTACATCAAAAAGATGTGAACACACTCAAAGAAATCCAAACTAGTAGCTGCACTAACTCTCTGAGAAAATAGTTTCTATTAGTGGGGAAGAAATGATAGATTCATTCTGTACCTGGTCATGGCCTGGCTTTTGCACCCATCTTTCCAGAGTAATCAAATGAGCATTGAGACCTTTCCCCAACTGGTTAAGGAAGGCCAAGTTGAGTGGCACTCCAAATAAGGCATAAAAAACACAGAAGACCTGTCCTGCCACTGTGCTTGGAGACCGGTTACCATAGCCTGGAACAGAAGAAAAAAAGAGCTACAAGAAAAGGTTTCATAGTTGGTCTACAGGCCATCATTTCTTGGGCTTAGAAGCTCACTTTCATTAAGCTTCAAGGATCTGTAGGCCTATGATTTTGCATAGTGAATTCTGCCTACAAATAGCTATAGCTTATCATAGAGCCCTACGCATTCACTACTACTAAGAGAACATTTAATGTGGAAAATTCTGAACAAATGCCATGATTTCCCATAAGTCTGATTTGGTAGTGAATGCAACTGAGTACTTCAAAGCGACCTCAGAATTTGCTGTACATGTATACAGTCATATCACACATACCAAAGAGGCACTTGGCCATTTTTGCAGGTTTGATATCATGAATGCACAAGAAAAGGTATTGTCTGAAACACAGAAGAAAATATAACCTGCAGTAATCAAGATCATCTTGTAGGTGTATTCTGTACACTCATTTTATTTTCCTCAGGGATTTGCAGTACAGCTAGAGGAAACCCCAATTCACAAGGAAAGAGAGTACCTCACCTATAGTAGTGACAACAGCTCCTGCAAAAAAGAAAGAATTGCTGAAGTCCCAGTTACTGGGATTCGTAGAGTTTTGTTCTAGGTTGACCCCTTTTTCCAATGCTTCCATGAGGACCTGAGGCAGAAGAGGTCAAGGGAGCAAAGATGAGCCACACATTACACATCAACAGGAAAAATGTCAGAAAAAAATACAGCAGATAAGTAGATATTACTTTCTATCTTGAGCAAGCAGAGCAGTAAACAGTGCAGATAACAGGGCAAGCTTAAGTAAAATGACCTGAGAGAGTCTTATGCTGATGTAGCAGAACTCTGAAATAGAGCTGGTCAGGAACTTGAACTCTTATCACCAGAGAACTGGCCACTGAAGTAGAATCAGTTCCATAACTACTCAAAGGCTAAGGGGAGAAGAAGTCCCTGGAATCATGAAACTTGGAATATAAAGTGAAGTTATGCCTTAAAAAAATACATATAAATCCTTTCCTTCCCTGGTGTAGTCGTTTTATTCCAAATTTAAATTTGGGCATGTGTAAATACATGTTTGTATCTGTGGTGAAGGGTATGAGGAGCATGCTTGTTTCATCTTTGTCCATGTAAATACTAGTGAGGATGAATTACTCTTTTGGCTACGAGTTCCCAGTAATTTTTAATCAATATCAAGATTCTTGTGATCTGGAGATTAGCTGTTCCAGATAACTCTTAACAGTTGATCAAACTGCTATGTGCAAAAGAGGTCTAGCTCCTGGTTGTGTATCATCTTATTAGCTGCCTTAATGACTAATGTGTTTCTTTGTTCTCCCTGAGGATTCCTCTGAATGAAACAGGTTGCCATCTGCACAGTGGCTGGAATTTCAAGAACCTCTTTTTTTTCTTAGATGTCACTTTTAAAGTCCACATCACAAAACATCACAAATTTCATAACTTTGCCAAATGTCTCACCACCGCATGAACACTCACTTTTTAGGCTGGAACCTGTCATGATGGGCAGGTTTCCTTAACCATACAGTTAAAATGTACAGTGAAAAAATTGTTCCCCTGCATTAGTTAAAGATGTAATCTGGAAAGAATTCAATTCCATAATATTAGTAAGAGCTGGACAAATTTCCTAAGAGAGATTATAAATGATAGTGAGAGGGCACCCCCACTTTCACCTGGGAGGTTATGTGCTGAATACGCTAGGCTTGGTGCACTGTGTATGATAATTTGGTGCCCTCAGCTGGTTTTGTCTGGAACAGCTGACAAGTGAAATGTATCTGATTCAGCTTCGATGCAGCAAAATGCAACAGTCTGAGTGGCCTGGCAGGGCTAAGGAAAGCACAACTGGAGGAAAGAGAATCTGGACATCTGTGAATCCTCCCTTAGCTTTCTAGAGTACCAGAGATTTAACTAAGCCTTTTAATTCTATAAAGAATCCAAGTGTGGTTTAGAGTGAGATTCAGAATCTTCCTCTTTACTGACATTACCACAGAGGGAAGAGAAGGACAGGTAACTCCAACAGATGATGTAGCTGGAAAGAAACAGGCATGTTTTCAGGCATACAAGTTCTGGAAAACTCTAGTTGTTTTTTGGACAAAGCCAAATATTCCATAAGAAATATGGAGTCATCAGATCATTGCCCTTGTAGACAGAATTCAGATGCCTTCTGATCCATTTTTGATTGGAAGTTCACTGTTTCCTCAGATCCATTTATTCTTCAGAAGAAAGTGATAATTCAAGGATTTTTTGCCCAACTCTTATAATACTAGAATAAGAGAATTTGTCCATAATAATACCAAGTAAAGGCTTGCAATTCATCTCCAGCCTTTGAGGAATAGATCAAAATGTAATTGAAGATGCTATTAATTGACAACCCATACTGAATAAGAGCTAAGAGCTTTTTTGCACTTATTGACAAATTACACAGCTTCTGGTGGATGCATTCATGGGCAATAGACAATCTCAGGTAGAAAGAAAGGGCAGAATTTGCACAGGTTTGGGTAGAAGTACCTTAGAAGGACAACCTACTTTTTGTGAGCTTTTTCTACCCATGCAAAATTCCCTGCAATAATTAATGAGAGGGCTACAAGCCATGAAGTTAAAATTATTGTAAGGTAGCATGAAGGTTCATCAGCAGTTTTTCAATTTTTGGATGTTCATGAATATGTTAAAATAAAGTGATACATGAAAGGGCTTGAGAAAATATTGCCTTTCTGCTGGACAGTTGGTCCTCTAACATCGTGGACAGCAGAAAAATTTATGACATGCTTGGCCAAAACAGTATCATTGCTTCTAGCAAAAATAATGCTTGAGCCAAAATAATGCAAGCCTGTTCCTCTTACCTGTATGAACTGCTCCAGGGCTTGCCTGTCCAAGCACGTGTAGTTCTGCAGGAACTTGAGCTTCTCCAGGTGGAACTGGTCCCGAGAGTGGGTTTCTGCCTGCTTTTCCAGCAACTGGAACACCATAGCACCCAGGAGGAGGTAAAAGAGATACCCTAGCACCAGCAGTGGAGTCCAGCTGATCTGCCAGTTGGGTGCTGTGAGGAACGGCATGCTGCTGCTGCCAGTTCTTGGTCAGTACTTACTAGTTTACGCTCACAGGATATGTACTACCCTGGCCACCCAGAAATCATTTACCAGTGTTCCCAGCTACTGTGCTGGAGATCTTTTTAACAGAAAATACGGGTAACATGCCCATAAAAATGAGACTAACAGGCAATTTTTACCCTTCCTCATCTTTTCTCTATCCAAAATAGAGAATATTTATGACTTAATAAGTATGTAAATCATAGTATCTTCCTCTTATGAAAACAATTTTATCCAAAGATCTCAGTCAAACAAATGAAGTTGGACACAAGCCCTCTATGACAGATACTGTCTTCCAGGCTGGGAAGCTGAAATAAAACTAGCTTAATGACTTACTCATTAAGTGATATGAATGTAGAGCCATGAAAAGACTCTGAGAGTACTGACAAATAAAGCCATACTCAACACTGGACTTCCGTACAAGAAAACGCTATAAACTCTCCGGTTACAACAGAATCTCCAGAACTTAGAAGACTATGGAGCTGAATAAATGCAACATTCAATTGCAGCCGTCTGTACCACACAAACAATGCTGGTAGCAGTGAAAGTAGTGATGAAATTCATAAACATCCAGAAAAGCCTAGTCACAAAACAGTTTCTCTTTCTTTTTTTACCCTAAAAAATCAGCCCCTTCACTGCCTTGTCTGATAATCCTCAACTCTTTGTCAGATTCCACACTTGAACATCCCTTAGTCCATGGAGTTAGGAAAGGAACCACTCATGCTTGCTGCTTTCAGTGTCTGTATTTCCCATTTTTATCCGCATATGAAAGGGGGGAAGGCTCAGGTTAATCATTAGCTAAAAAAGTATTGGAAGCTCACTCATGGGAGCTTTAATGATTGTCATGCTCTGAAAATTAGCTGGGCTAGCATATTCTTTGTAGGAAGACCCTTAAAGCTAGAGTCATCCATGCCAAACTGCTTCTGAAAGAAAACACACACGCATAGAATCAAGATGAGAAGGCTACGTGGCTAGGACTGCAAGTCTGTAAATCTCCCTTCCCATTAAAAATTCTGAATGCAGATATCTTTCCTTTCGATCAGGATTGTTTTTTACCTGTCTTCAAACAAGACATAATGCTCAGAGAAAACAACTGAAAAGAATGTTTCCCTTCTTATCTTCTGGGAAATCCCCTGCAGCATCCATCTGAACTGAGTTTTTAGCCACATCCCACCCAGAAGACTGGCAACAGAAGGCCTCTTGTCACTGTGGACAGAGAAGGGTATGTTGGGCAGCTCCTAGAAGGTCTTTTAATTTGTTCAGGATCATTCTGTTGCTGTGGCTAGAGAACAGAAAGAAGTAAGAATAGATGTACGATACACAAGGACTCAAACCTTGGTGCTTTGCACAGTTTTTCTTAGATTAAATGAAATATAGTAACTAGAAGCTACAGTGGCATTGATATGTACTAACTTTGTGAACCAAACTGCTTTGAAGTAACAGAGATATCCAATCTATTTATTACTGGTGGAAGACCTTTTCATAGTAGGCACCGGTGGTGACTGAAAATGACTTTAGGAGTATCCAGAAAGAACTATATGCTGTCTTCCATAATTAAAAGATACAACTTGTTGTTCCATTCCTTGAGAAATATTAAGGGTAGGTGAGCTTGAGGTATTGCACAGCAGCCTGTAATACTGGTAGAGCTCTCTGTTGAGAGAGCCAGATACTTGCTGCGTTACAGCTTATAAGACCAACTTATAGCAGTCCAAGAGAATGCCTTCTAGTTTTCTGGAATGGATGCAAACATATACACATAGCTGGTCTAAGACAGATTCCCACAGTTGAAGTATATTTCTAAAGGTACTAAACTAGTAAGTTATTAATGAACAAATAAAGCACTGAATCTTCTCTATGTCCCCTTCTGCTCTTTCTGTTAAGTTCAACAAGGCATTCCAGCTGAGGCATTTAGAAGCCAGAAATACTGTGCCTTAAGGAAAAAGACTTAAATTTAGGATTCTATTTTTCTGAAGGTTTTGAAAATGGAGATACTAAAATTGTCAGGTTGTGCTTACTTCTATACTTCAGGTATTCCTACTTCAAGTATTGTAATGGTAGCAGTGTACCCTGTTTGTATGGCTGAGTGAAATGATTTCTAAATACCTTTCAGAGGTGTTATCATCTTTTCAATGACTATTATTTGAAAAGCATTAAAAAAAAAAAAAAAGCGACCAAAATAAATTAATGGGAAATAAAAACCTGAAGAGAACTTTGGGAGACATATGGAATATATGATAAGGTATCGTCAGTATGCCAAAATAACAACGCTAGCAGGGTGGTCCCTTTTAATGACAGAATGACAAAACTTAGTGTCTGATCTATCTTCTTTTATTTTTTTTAATTTATGTTCTTCTGATTATGAAAATAAATAAGACCTGAGTTCACAAAATTTAGAAATAAAAAATTCGGAAGGAAAAAACTACTCTTAAGAGTAGCTAAACTTGGAAACTGACTGTTACTCCAAAGCCCTATACTTCCTGTGCTCCCGGCCAACATCAAAATAAGAGTGCATTTAGTTTCAAATCTAAGGAATGAATTCTCACAAATATTTTGTATATATAAAATATATATATTATATTCAAGTGTATATGAATTACTTATTTTGAATATAGATCTGAATGTGACCTCCAAGATTATTCCTTTAGTTATGATCTCCTCCCTCGGCACTGATGTAATATAGGACTGATCCAGTAGATTTTCTCTAGAAAAAAATCTGAGCCACCTGGAAAGTACCAGAATGACACCCTGGTCTGCAGTCAAGGTCATGAATCACTTTATGTGGATTACATGTAGCAAATCAAAGGATTTGGGGTTCTCCATTTACTTCACCTATTGTTACAGTCCCTAGAAGTTCCTAAACATGAACAGATAATGAATATAAATGGGCCTAATAGAGCTCACTTTGTTTCAAAGGCTATGAAATATACCATGGTGATAAATAGAAGAATAATTTACACAGATGCAAACAAGCTGTTTCAGTGGTTTAAAGATACCTTGGCTGATTCTGTTGTCCTCAAACTTCTGATGAAGGATGAATTTCAGAGCTGTTACTTCTGGAATAAACTTCTCTGAACAGAATTAAATGAGAAGTCGGATGCAAAAAATTCAGGGACTTATTTCTTCTTCAGGTTATGTACTGTAGCCTGAACAACTTGTACATGAAAATACTGAATTGTTTTGAATTTGCCTTGCTCCTTAGTACAGAGTTAAGGAAATAATAAATATGGATAGCAGAAAACTGAGTGCATTTCTTCAGGCATGGCACTGCGATTTGGCAAGTTTCTACTTCTCATTTTGTTCTCACTCCAGATTTAAGACAGTAATTTTTATTTACTGCTTTACAATCACATAGGTGAAAGCATGGAACATTTTCATTTTCAGGTAAAGGTTGCCTTATTGGTGAGCAAACATTACAGGAAGCAAAACAGAAAAAAATATTAGGAGAAGATATATTGATTTGTTGGCCCATGGCGTTGGCATTAGAGCAGCAAAGGTTGAACCTTCCCACCAATATTCCATTACATGTTGTTGCTGTGTGACAGATGGCAGCAAAGAAGCAGTCTGACACTATGGCGTCTGTTAGGGAAGTGTGTATGAAGCAAAGGTGTGTCACTGAATTCTTCCACATGGAAAAAATGGCACCCACTGACATTCATCAATGCTTGCTGAACATTTCTGGATACCAAACGGTGGATGTGAGCACAGTGAGGTGGCTGGTGGTGTGTTTCATATGAAATAATTCTGGAAATTTTGAATTGTAGAGGTTATTTCCATTAAAAATTAATATCATATTACAATATCCACATTTCAATAATCAGGTATTAAAATTATTACGTATTAGGTACAATTAAAATCAGCAAAAGATCTCAAATTATTTTTGTAACATATTTTAACCCAGAAAACTTTTTTTTCAGACATCTCTAGATGCCAAACAGATGTAATGTATAACGCCTTATGCAAATCCATGCAAATAAAACCAGTTGATTTCACCTGATTTCTTTGCAAGCTTCCAGTATATGTATACCAAAGGAGGTAAAAAAAACAAACAACATTCAATCAGTAGAAATATGTGTTCCCCAGATTAAAAATATAGAAGAACATTAACACATTAAATAAATTTAACCTCTATAAAACTGACAATAAGTTCCCAGTAAACAAATATATTTGGCAAAATCCTGATTATTTGTTCTAGTTTTACTTAGTTTTAATGCAAGCTGCTGAAACCAAACACAAATATTCAAATATAATCCCCTGATGAAATGGATTTTTGCTGTCAAATACAAGTCACTTTTATAGCATTGTACTTAAATCTGCACATCCGAAGATGCCGTTTCTTCTCAAAAGAGGAAGGTGAAGAAGAAAGGTCATCAGCAGATTCTAAAAGGCAACAGTGGGCTGCCACAAGAACTTCATTTGTTTCCCAGGCCTGAAAGGAGATAAAAAATTTACTAGGCTTTGTTTTAGAATATCTCATCAGTTGAAAAAATAATTTCACTCCAGAAAAGAGAGGAAATATAAGATACTTTAAAACTTTTAAGATGAAAAAAAATAGTTTTCTGTATTTTCATTTATATTCCTTAAGACTGAAAACGGCAACAAAACAGTAGAACACTTTAAAAGATTTTCAACTCAGCTTTTAGCAGTTCTTTGACAATCTCATCAATACCCTGTGGATATATTTGCTTTAATTCATCTCTAGTTAAAAAACAAACCGTAACAACCTACAAGAACTGAGCAAATCTTTTCTGAGATCTCTCATTATTTCACCCATGTTTCTGTCACTAAGGATATCAAGCATTCCTGTGCTTTCTGTTTATGATACTTATTTTCTGTTCTATTGGCTTTGGCACACATTTATACTTTTTTATTTTGGTTTTTTTTTTCCAGCTAATGTAAAGCGGGGCCCTCAGTTTGCTTCTAAGATACTGATACAACAGTTTGAAAGACTCAGGATTAAGAAAGGCAAC